ATGTTTAACGGTTTTTTATTTTTATGGTTTTATATATTTGATCGGTACCCATAATATACCTGTTCTAAAGAGATGCAAATATGTGTATATTCTATTTCTAGAAATTGTGTTTTTTACTTCATATAAAATACGTATAATAAATATTTACCGCAAGACTAACTTTTTAATAAAAGTATTTTCTATGTTTTACAATAAATAGTTTTGAATAAAAATTGTTGCTATTACATAAAGAATACCAAAATAGTTACCAGACATATTTTTCATAAGAGAAAAAATGTCTGAATATAATGAAGACATTCACCTATTTAAAAATTAAATAAAAATAAATTGAAGAAACATATTCATTTGAATATACATTGTACTTTAACTTATTTATACTAAATAAAAGAGTTTGTTTGAATGTGAACCTTTCAACATTCATTAGGTAACACACACATTTTTCTTCTTAGCTTTATTGCCAGTAGAAAAATAAAGTAAAAATATAATATTAAATGTATCAAGATTCTTTGTTCCTTTCTGTAACTTAATGACTTGAGAATAACTATTTTCAGTTTTATTGGTTACATTTTTCATAGTTCACAATAATGTTGCTATATTCACTAAGAAGACACCCTGTGCATATTACAGACAGTAATAGCTTTGTGCATTGCAATAGTAAAATTATGATTATTCCCTGTGTGATATTTTTGGTCTTATCAACAGAAAATATTACATCTATTTTAAACATTATCAACTGATATATTTATCCTAAAGACTGTAGATGAGTCAGCTAATGCCATTCTGATACTATTTTCAAATTTTTCTTGTATGGATGAAAACTCCATCATATTGCTTGGTTTTGAATCAATCCAAAACCCATCAAACTCATAGAACAGATAACAATAAAACTGATGAAATGCACGAATTGTTGGAAAGCTCTTTGCAGAATTATAAATATGAGTCTTAGCACTTCCATCTTTTAACAACCTTAGAGCCATACTTGTTAAATTTATACCAACTATGGCAAATGCATAGCCATAGCGTGGATGTGTAGAATGTGACAGTACATGTGTTGCAGCACTGGGATATTCTTGAGCAAAATAAACTAAATTTTCTAATCCCAAAATTCCCATTCCTCGAAAATCTGTTTTTGGGTCATCTCCCTGAAAACCAATATGTTGCCACTGCTTGGTAACTCTAGCATCTAAAGGCTCATAAGGCATCAATAAGTTCCACAACTTTAACAGCAACAACTCATGCTCTGGATTATCAGCATCATAAGGTGTTTTCCTAAGCTCTTCACATTCCACACAAAGTTGTCTATAGCCCCAAATTAACTCTACACATTTACCAAATGATTTGGCAAAGTCAGGATGAGCTGTTGGATTTACTTTCTTAGTCACCAACACAGTTATAATAGCTTCCTTTATAATGTTACGCTTTATTTGCTTTGTAATTGCACGTTGATCAGCAGAATCATTCAAGTAGACAACAAGAGCTTTGATATTAGCATTTCTAGATAACTTAAGAGATTCCTCTACAGCTAATGTCCTTGGTGCTCCAGGTAGTTCTCCATAGCAAATTCTTTGAAGCTCGCACATTTGAGTTGTGTGTCGTAGTAACCATTTTATAATGGGTCTGAAATACCAGCACACTAGTGACCAGAGGTATATAAACATGTTCTCCGTTAATCAAGAACCTTGGTACAAGGAATATCCACATAAATCTTTTTAGATTCAAGTTCTAATTAACCTCTTATTGCCATCATACTTCAGAATGTAGTTTCTGTCACTGAGTTAAAAAAACGAGATTCTAACACAGGAACTGACACTTTGATTATTTATTCTGACAAATACAACGCTTTCCTGTATCCGCCGTTAACAATAAAACCAATGCACATAACCTGTGACAATGTAATTAACATACATGTGTGACAGAGAATTTGGTTCTGTTAAATGAAAAGTAACTTCATGACTGTTAAGTTTGTTTATGGTCAACAAACTTTCGGTCTTTACGTTGCATTACAGAAAAATCATCGATTCCCTCAAATATTCCGCCTCAACAAAGAGAAATCAATAATAACCTACTAAACTAACGCGGTACCGATGGTAGAAGAGGTCACTCACTATCGTCATCCTGTACCAAAGATTCGATATAACGTACATACCTATTTTTTATTACGCTAGGTAACTTGTTTTTAGAAGACATCAAAGGGCGTGACAGAAAAAGAAAACAAAAAACGTGCAAACGATTTAATATATCCTATGGCATTATTAAGATATTAATTAGTAGCAAATTATCACTTCACCTTGAATGTCTACCTTCACCGCTAGATCATGTTTACAAACACAGATGAAATTATCATTTTGGTTATACTTGAAGAATATAACGAAAAAACACTGTCGTATCATCAAATAAAACATATAAAAAGAAACAACTTCAGTCATGAAATTACTCCATCTTTGTTTAGAAATAATTTTTTAAATCAATAATATTAATAGACATCACAGATGGAAAATGAACACGTGTCTTCGTCAAAAATTTCAACGGACTGCTCAAACAACAACGAGAACATCCAAAACACTGAAAATCAGTACAAAGAACTATTGGATGAGGAACATAAAAGAAGGGATCAGCGTGACACAGATTTAGACCTAGATCTTCGAACTGTCCTTCCAAATTGTGATTCTGTTTCTGAGAACGCGGGCTCGGAAAAACTTTCGGCCGTTCTCGAACAAGCGGAAGAATCGTCAGTGATTTTAAAGGATGCACAATCAGTGGAAGATGATCAGGAAGATAACGAATTAAAGTATGCCAATATCTTTTCGATTTAAATAAGGGAAAAACTAATAACTGCGTAACTAATAGCTGGATTCATCGGGAACGTATAGAATCGCTCGGTGAAGTAATGAGGAATTTAAAAGAAGAACTGAAAAGGGAAATAGAACTTTGGAAGAAGGAACGAGAAGAATTTCAACTTTTACGTGAAAAAGACGACGCATTGGCTCTGGAGGAGGCAACTGCAGCTGCACGGGCAGCTGCAGTTGCTTATGCTGCTGAATCGCCATTATCTAACAATTTGGGTAATTTTTAAAAGAGGGCGAAATAGTTAAAATATCGTAAAAATGTTCATAGAGTCGATTAATTTATACCGCAGGAGATCTTTTAGATATTACTTCAGAGGATACGTTCAGAGAATTAACGATACTTGAGTATGAAAAAAAATTGGCCAAATATCAAGATGAATATTCATTTAGCCAGGCGGAGAAGCGTTATAATGCCCGATGGAAAATTGTTGCAAATGCGTACAAGCAAAAACTAATGGAAGTGGAACGACTTTGTAACGAGGAATTGGAAAAAGTTCAGGAGAACGTGCATCATTTGCAACCACTGAAGGAAATGGTGTCACAATGGTATGCAGATGAAGAAAATCACGGTGACTCGATTAAAAGGACCGATTTTGGTAGGAGTGCACAAAAACTCAACACTTTTAACGAAGATAATATGCATAATCGTAATAAGTTTCAAAAAATCGACGCGGAGGTCAATATGGCGCCAGAAATATTCGTAGCCCGGTTCAAATCTGACGATTTAACGAAAACAGATACATTTTAAGGATGAACTTATATATAAATTGTAAATTAAAATTTGTTGATTCCACTTTGAACAAATAGATGATATATGGCTAGAAAATGTAAAATCCCTTATTTTATTTAATCTGCAAAAAATATTTTTACCGCTGTTCAAGAAATCTTCGTACGATAATAGCGCCAGAATGAAATGTCTACCCGTTTCCTATGCTGCATAAGTACCGGAACAGAATTTCACAAATTTTGAGAAATTACATGCATATAATAAACAGAAAACACTTCCATAGAAACTTTGAGGTGAACTGATACGTTTGGAACTACATTTAAGCACTAATATTACAAAATACATTACTTAATACACAAAATAACCGACCACAATACGATGTTTGAAATGGTTACCGCGCGTTCCTCCGTTCACTGAAAAACGTGGACTATTCTACTTGGACTGTTCCACTTGTTCCGACGTTCCTTGTTCATTGTTTACGTGACGTGGGATACGTTGACTGATTGTTGCCGGTTAGGTCAGGTGAAATAGGATTAAAACAGTTTTGTTTACTTGTTTGTCCTAATTTTCGTAGAAAAAAGTTGCAACCATGTTTCAGTCTGTGTTCGATGATATGCGGCGAATGAATAAACGGCAGGTGAATACATTTTTTAAACCGAATCATGATGAATTTTTGCGAGCGAGCACATATGGTCAATCGGACGAAATACTTTTTAAAATTGCTTTCGATTCTTTTCACAGTACCTATACCAAATATTAAGTTTCGGTATGATCGTTTCGTCCGCTTTAATGATCTGGAAAGGTTTGATGGTTGTAACTGGCAGCGAGAGTCCGATCGTGGTGGTTCTCAGGTATTTGAATACTTAACCTAACGGACGCCTCAATGCGTCTTTCGCACGAATAAATTCATTTTTTAAAATGTATAGATATTGATTTTCTGTTGAGTTTTGTATAACGGCTCACATTCTTATGCTCAGTTAGATATCTTCATAAATAAATTCTAACGTATTGCAATTATTTACACATTTTGAGTTATTTGAGATTTATTAAAAGAGGTAACAGTTACTTTTTAGTTGAATCCATAAGATACAAAAAAGAAGTTACATTTGAGTTTGTACTTTACACACATCCTGTGGACTTAGTTTGATATTTTGAATAGCTTAAGGCATAATTTTAATATTGTGTTCTTAAGCATGTATTTTACATTGTTATAGTGGTAGTATGGAACCAGCATTTCACAGGGGGGATTTGTTATTTTTAACAAATTACCAAGATGAGCCAGTCAGAGTAGGAGAAATTCTTGTTTTCAAAGTTGAGGGTAGATATATTCCAATTGTACACAGAGTCCTTAAGCTACATGAAAAGTAAGTATTTTTTAAATGTTTAGAATAATAGAGATAAAGGATATACAGGTAAGGTAAGTTATTGATCGCTAATTAATGTATTTTAGGGGTGATGAAAACAATACTGTTAAATTTCTAACAAAAGGTGATAATAATTCTGTTGATGATAGAGGTTTATATGCACCTGGTCAATTATGGTTAACACATAAAGATGTTGTTGGTAGGGCAAGGGGTTTCTTACCATATGTAGGAATGATTACAATATTCATGAATGAATATCCCAAATTGAAATATGTAGTATTAATATGTTTGGGAATATATGTTTTGATACACAGAGAATAAAAGTATTTCATGTAAGAAATTATATGAAATAGACTGCCTGAACATCTAAGAAAAGTGTATTGTAAAATTAAATCCTACTTGACAATTCAAATACACATGTGGAAATATGTACAATGTAATTTTATGTCTTGTTGATTTTATACCACTAGAGAAACCTTCTGCATGCAAGAGGTCAGGAGATGTAACAGTTTTGCGAAATTGTGTGTACTTACAATAGTAATAAGGAAACATTAAGATATATGTGTAAAGCTCCAGTACTTTTATACCATTAAAAGACAATGTTCTACCATTATTGGTAAAAATTCAATGTACAAACATTTTTTTTTCATTATTCAAATTGACAGAAATTATAATGAAACTCAATTGATAAATTATTACAAATTTTATAATACTAATAAATTGATAAAATCCTAAACACCTAACATTAATTATATGCGTAATTTATTTTTGTCATAATTTTTAGTTAGTGATTTTTGTCACGAGCAACAATGATATAGGTAAATCTTAGACTTAATTAATTAAGAATACCATACATTTTATTGCACTTCTCTTTGTGAAGGTTTTGCTCATTTAGCTTTTTAAGTGCATTATGATGTAAAAGTTATTACAACACTGGACAGGTAGGAAATTAATAAAATCACAGGTTATTCTGTATAGAAGAAAGAAGGGAGGAATGGGAAATTTGGGAAGATGAACATTAAAATGTATATATTCAAGTAAGTTCTTAATTTGTACTGCACATAAGAATAAGCATATCTTCCCTAATCTTCTTCATTGTGGCAATGTCTGTATATAGTTTTTATTTGATGGGCACTGAATATTCTAAAAACATTGACATTTTAGACCACAAAATGTAACAATTAACGATACTTGTTTGTAGCAAACTTATATAAGAACATTTCTATATTAATTGCGTTTATTCAATGCAATGTAATTTTTGTCTTTGACTATCTCAAATAAAATATGTATGGAATACAAATTTAAAATAATGTCTCGTCTTTATTCCCGACAGCTTGTTTTATTGTTCCAAAGAAAAGGACTTATTTTTACATGTTTTATTTAAAAAGCATTAAAAAATGTCGTTGTACTTAACAAAATCGTTTATTAAAAAAAGTATTAGTAAACAGGTTCTGTACTATAAAATAAAATGCGTATTTGATAATATCTTAGGTTAATCACGATGTATTTTTTATCAGACAACAGATAAACAAGAACACACATAGTTCATTATATATTGCGTCAATTATCTGACTGAGTTCCTTGTATTATTTTGACAAAGCAAATCATTCTTTTTAATGTGCTTTTTGCAAAACTTATCTCTGCTCATGAGAGTAAATGCGTTCATCTTAAAATGGAAAACATGTTGGTATATATTTACAATGTACAGTATCATAAGTAAATACGTAGCTACCCTAGTTATACATGTAATTAAGGTAGTCGATTTTTATACAATAAATTTTTATGAAATTCATGGCATATGCATTCTAATTCCCCCTAATTGTAATGTTTCGTTCACATTTCGATTAAGTACGTTGTTCCACTTTAATCCACGTTTCCTTTGGTGTAGTGATTAAACCGGGCAGTTTGTCTTGGAGACTTGTCGGTTCTCCCTTCACAAAGGAAAAATTAAAATTCTGCATCAACGCAGCAAATACTCCAAACATGTTATATCTGGCAAACGTTTCCCCCGCACATACGCGGTGCCCTAACGCATAATAAGGAAAATGCATTATCAATAACATAATCATCAAGAGATATTTACATGCCAATTATACTTAAAGAGATGAATGTTTCTACAAGTTGTATATAGGACACAATTTATCAAACATTCAGTGTTACCAATGCAACATTATAATTAAATTGTAATTAGTATAATCGTAATAGCATCGATATACAGGGTGAGTCACTAGAAGCACCATCGCCATCATAATATTATTTTCTGTTATGCCATTTTTTTCGATATTTTTAAGGTCACCAACGTATTTTTAAATGGAACTGCATACTTTTTTCCTTGTATAATTGTAGCCGACATCTAAACGAGTTCAATCATGTAACACATTATGACCTTCAACCCAGAAAAATGGAATAAATAAAATTCAACGTGTAAGGTTCATTTGCTTTACTTCTGTTATGCTAACTGTTCAAAATTATTCCCTTCAGCTGTGATACATTCAAATCTCCATTTTTCTGGGTTGAAGGTCATATTGTGTTACATGATTGAGCTCGTTTAGATGTCGGCTACAATTATACAAGGAAAAAAGTATGCAGTTCCGTTTAAAAAAGCGTTAGTGACCTTAAAAATACCAAAAAAAAAATAATAAGATGGCGATGTGCATCCTTCGAAACCATTCTATGTAATTCTTATGTACCCATATTTCACATCTTTAAATCCAACAAAGATATTCAGGTGTTCTGCTTCTCGTGACTCACCCTGTATAGCGATATGTGATTAATGTTAATATTTCAAGCAACTATGCCGTAATATTGTGATATTATTATATTAAAATTGTTTACGTACCCAATCCAAAAACGAACGTGAAATCTTTTCCCAACTGGCCATCTTCTTTGAGGAATCTTTCAGGTCTAAAGTTTTCGGGATCACCCCAGAATTCAGGATCGGTATTTAGCGCCGTTAAATTTGTGACAATCAATGTATTTTTGGGAATATCGAAACCGCTTAGAGTAGTATCGTTTAAGGTTTTATGAAACACACCAAATGGCGTTATCGTTTCGAATCGAAGCGCTTCGCGTATTGTTGCTTCAGTATACGGTAAACTAAATAAAATTTAATGTATGATAAACTAATAAAATTTGTTATATTTTCTTTGATAAAAAAATCACGTACCTTGTTCTGTCTTCCCACGTAACGAGTCTTCCGGATCCAACCACCCTGTCTATTTCCTCTTGTATATTTTTTAACACTTCTGGATTATGCATAACAAGTTTCATTGCGTGCACAAGAGCACTTGGCATCGCAGATAAAGCTGGGAACATGAAATCCACAAGAGTTATAAGAAGTTGTTCGTCTGAGAAAGTAGATTTCACGTTGCTCTTTTCTTGTATTTGTTTCAAATATCTGTCTATCAGCCCCCTATCTTCATTATCTAAGTATTTTCGATTTTCTACACGTTCCTGTATTAATGGCAAAACTTGGATGATTATTAAAATAAATAGATAATGAGTTTAAATGAAAAAATGGAAATGTACCTTGATAAAATCTACCATACGATAATTTGATTTTACAATGTCTTGGTATCCAAACATATTTCCGAAATACTTTAAGTACCATAATGAGACAATCGCCCCGCCAGTAGTGTCAGCAGCTCTTTGAAAACTCATAGCAGATTCACAAAAATATCTCAGTTTGTCATGTTCCGAACGATCGAATATTTCGCCGAACACAATGTCCCATATACTGTTCGCGGCGTATGGATACAGGATGTCCGGGAAAAGTGCAGAACCATTTTTTAAGAACGTCTATGAACCGTATTGAAATTACTCAGTAATCGTCTTATAATTTTATAATACAGTAGAGTTCCGATTGTCTGGCATCCCATTATCCGGAATGCCCGATTAACCAACACATTTGCTCCGACTGTTCTTCGGCAACCGTCACAAATCATATTTTGGTCACAAGTCACAGCCACATGGATCCAGCAGTGATATCGATACCAAGCAGTTGAACAAACTGAAGGAATTCATGTGTTTTACAATGCTTGTATTGTGTATACGTATACATAATACAGTCAAGAATAGAAATATGTGGACACCCTTCTAAAGCAGAATAGCTTTTTCCAAAATTAGATCAAACAGCTTGAGCTTTTTGAATACGTTAGAAGGATTAGTTTACTACATGACGTGTAAAAAAAATTTTGAAAAAACTGCGATTAGTCGGAATCGCGAAGAAAATAGCGAAGGTCGCGTTTTACAACTTTTTTATCTGAACTCGTAATGAAAATTTAAAAAATACATTTCGTAGATCTATGTATGTCAATTATACACATGCTGAAATTTCATCGAAATCAGATACCCTATTTTGAAGGGTGTCCACATATTTCTGTCCTTGACTGTATGTACATATGTAGCATCGGAACTTGTATCCATGATAGAGTTGCAATTTATAAAGTCACTAATCTAGAATAGAGAGCATTAAAACCCCGGACATTTCTGCTTGAAACCCAGACACTTCTATTTTTTAGATTAATTACGATATTCCAAAATAAAAACTTCTTTCTTGCGTTTGCATTTAGACAGCTTCTGATGCGTCTAATGCGAACGCAACGCTTGAAAATTACTCCTAGTTGGACAGCAAGAGAGCATCGGAAAACCCGGATCACTACAGAAAATCCCCCCGGAAATCCCCGGATGCCTTAAAAAGTAGGACAAATCCGGGGAAACCCGGACGGATGGCAACCCTAATACATGGTTATTTTCTAAATTATTTTCTTCGTTATTGTCACTTCATAGGTGCAGTCGAATTATTCGGCATGTTTGTTTATCTAGCACTGCCTCGGTCCCGAGTATGCCGGATAATCGGAATTCTACTGTATAGTTTTTTAAGTATAGTCGGGGCCACGATATAGCGAGGTCGTAAAATTGGTCAGACGTCAAAGTAAACATGTTTTAGCTGCCGGGAACCGAAAATTGACAGAGATACGAGCAGATAAGTACTTGAAACCATGGTCAGGACCGTACAAAGAATTCTTGTATCCAGCGAAAGTCAACTGATTCTAATATATTTACTGAAAACTGCATGCAGCTAGGACAAATTAGGGTTTCTCCCTCTGGGGGAAGCCGCTTTTGGAAGTACGGTTACAGGTAAAGGTCTTATTGATGTCTTTAGCATCTTAGTTTATCTACTCGTGTTATATACAGATAGAAAGTGCAAAAAGATTGTGTAGCTTAATATTAACATATTTTCCATTTGTAAATGAAATACCATTTTCTACTTGAAGTACCAAATCATATGCTACCATTCGTTTATTGTTGGAACCCTCAAACAGACTGCAACACGCGGCCTTGAGTGCCGCAATATCAATCGATGCCGATTCTTGAGAGTTTAATTTACGACCTCGCTATATCGTGGCCCCAACTATACCTTTTCTTTGTCATTAATCGGGCCTTCTTTTAACATCTTAATAAGGATTGAAACTTCTTCCATCATGTCCGTTTCGTACTTTTCATGTCTTCTGCCAAATCCAAAATCCCTCATATGTCGAAGAGTAAATCTTCTTTGTTCTTGCCAGAATGAACCCTCGTTGAAAAAGATGCCTGAAATTTCATATATCACGTTTTAATTTAAGAAACGATGCACCACTTTTTACATCCCTTTTTATGAGTACCTAATTTCTTCCCGAAAGATCTTGCTTGGAAAACATCTATCTCGGTCGGTCTTCCATCAAAATCTTCCCTCGACAATACTTCTCTGATATTTTTGTAATCATTCGCAATAATAGCCATAAAACTACCAAAGTAACATGTAACAACTTTAGATTGTAATTTATTCACGTAATACTGAACTGCGTTGTAAGGATACTTGTAATCGTGCCATAATAAATGCCAGTAAGATCCCACTATTGGTAGTCGTGGAATACCTGTTGTAGTAAAAAGTTGAAATTGTAACAAAAAAGAAAAAGAAAATTCGAGTACATGTTGCTGACAGTTTGTTAGTAAAACGTCAAAAGAATAAAAGGAAATTATGTCAAAACTTACAAGGTGGTGAGTTTGGTGGTACACAAGTGAGAAAATCGTAAAACTTATATGCTATTATACAAAGTAATATTACAATTAAAAAAGGCGACATTATTGCGTTACCATCGAGCACAGAATGACCGACTGCGATTGCCGTATTTATGTGTCTTAAACTGAATTGTGTACACAAATAAGCCTATCGAAAATTATTCATGTTCAGATAAACTCTCTTCGTTTCCCTTATCATTTCGTACAAAGTCTACGCTCAATAAATGTTCTATAGTGTAAACTTGTAATCAAGCTATTTATTATAATTTAATTACAAATTTCATAATTATAATTATGAAATGATTCATTATTTTTGTAGGTAACTCCTTTTGATATATGCTAGCTCTTTCTTTTCTATTTCAGCGATGTAATAATTAATATAGTCCCCTTATAATAACAGACAAAAGAAATTTTTAGTAACCCATCCCCTACTTGTAAATTTGTTTCTTTTTTTCGAAAATGTAAACAATTTTACTTTTTATATTCCCATATAAATAAACGTCAGGGTTCTTATAAAATTACCCGATTTTGCAATTAGGTATAGTTTTTATTACTGTCGATAGTACATTTTTATACGATACAATAATATTTTTAAAACATAAGGTACAAACAGAGCTTAACGAAAGTGAATTTTCTAACAAAAATCTTTATTTTACAATACAAAGTACTATACATTTATTGTTTAAATCACAAATAAAACATCTAAGTACGTTTTATTATATTTTTTATATATGATTTCATTATATGCTTCATTGTTTATAGTATTCTACGAAACTACAAAA